TTGTGAATGTTCATCAAGAGTTAGGTATTTATTGTAGTATTTCACAATCTGGGCTTGTTTGTACCCATCCTCCCTGGAAAGGCTTTCCAGGTATTTAAAAATACTTGGGTGTTATGATCTAAGCTATGCCTGCATTGGGGCCACCCCAAGCCCAGTAACACTGTAGTTCTTACAGACTTGTAGAGGTACCTCCTTGGTGGTCATAGATAAGATGCAGAATAATTCTTTGGATTATCAGGCAAAGACTCTTGTTCTCTTCCCTTACTTTCTCCCAAACAAATGGAGTCTCTCTGTATTGAGTTGCCTGAAACTGGGGATGGGGTGACATAAGCACTCCTTTGGTCACCACTACTGGGACTGCACTGGTTCAGACCGGAAGCCAGCACAGCACCAGGTCTCACCCAAGGCCCCATGTAACCACTTCCTATTACCTATGTTTGCTCAAGGCCCTGGAGCTCTGCAATCAGCAGATGATGAAGCCAGCCAGGTTTGTGTCCTTTCCTTGAGGGGTATGAGTTTCCTAGGTCCCAGGCAGATCCAGAGATGCTCTCCCAAAGCCAGGGACAGGAGTTAGAAACCTTAGAAATCTGCATGGTGTTCTATTCTACTGTGGCTGTGCTGGCACTCAAACCATATGGCACAGTCCTTCTTACTCTTCCCTTTCCCTTTCTATGTGCAGAGGAGCTTCACCCCATGGCCACCACCACTACAGGGAATACTCTCAGGCTACCACTGATGCTCAAGGACTCCTCCTTCAGCTTGTGGTGAATACCGCCAGGTCTGGAACTCACCCCTCAGGGCAGTGGGCTTCCCTCTGGACCACGGAAGGTCCAGAAATGCTATCCAAGAGCTAAGGCACAGAATCAGGGACCCCAAGATCTCACTTGCTCCTCTACACCACTGTGGCTGAGCTGGAACCTGAGTTTTGGTTTCTATGAAGGTGATCCCTTTGTGTAGACAGTTGTAAAACTTGGTCTTCCTCAAAGAATAAATGCTTGAGGGGAAGGATGCCACATTTTCCATGATGTGGTTATTATGAATTGCATGCCTATATCAAAACATCTCATGTACCCCAAAAATATATACACCTACTGTATACCCACAAAATGTAAATTTTTTAAACCTGGTGTTCCTAGGGAGGGGCATGATCAATGGGGCCCTTATTCACCCATCTTGCACTGCACTCCTCCATCAATAGCAATTTAGCAAGGATTTATTAGCTATGTTATGAGCCCTTTTAAAATTCATCAGGCCAAATTAGCACTATCTACAGAGATTGTAGCAAACATTTCATGCTGGTCATTGAAAAAATATATAAATGCTCAAAGATACTTCACCTGACCGAAATGTTTTCTCACCTAAGCTTCTATTGGATGATAATACTGACACCAGTGCTTTTTCCCTGGGAAAGTACTCCCTGGTCAACAGTTTGCTTTGAACCCATGTAAGAACTTCCTAGGTCAGGGGCAAGTGAAAAAAAAAAAAAAAAAAAGAATTCTTTTCCTCCAGAGTTTTCTTTACCAAGAGGCAGCCAATGAAGCTGTTGGCTTCCAGCTACTAGATAAACCCATTTTAGTTTCAGGAAATGCTGCCAAGTTGTACTGTATTTCTCCAAAAAGTAGGCTGTTGTCTCCACCCCTCCCCTGTCCACCCTGGAAAGGTTCTGTGAGGATACTTTCTTGGTCCTGGCAGGTCAGGCAGGTGCTGGTTCTCCTGTTTTCTTCTACCCGTAGCGAATCCTTGTCTGACATTGCTGCCCCAAGATCACTAAAGCTTAAGTCCAGTGTTGGACATTAACTAGATTCCTTCTCTGTCCCCTACTCAACCTACCTCCACCCCACATCAGAAAAACTCTGAGAGCGTCACAGAACACTCTGATGATGCCAATATTCCTACCACTGTTACCTTTACTTAAATTGCCCAAAAAATATGGGGCTACAAGATGAAAGAGCTATCTCATTGGCTTCTCATAACAAAATAAATAAGGCCAACAGTGAAATTTTTGTTTTCTTTCTGTTTAATTGTAGTACCATTATTCAAATAATATTGTCCTTTATTTGTTTCTCCTACCAAAATAATATACTCTAACTATTCACAGTTTAAATCAATTTAATAAGCTGGCCTAGGAACCCAACTCATATTTGTATTCCTCCTGTGGGTATAAAAGTATTCAACAATTGCTTATACAATCAGCTGTGATCAAAGCATTGTCCTCAGCAAACCTAATTATCCTAACTTTGCAAATAACTTTATAAACTTTTGGAACCTAAACCACTTTCAAGAAAAGGACTTCCTGTATTGAATGCTATAAATAAATTAAGCCAGAAAAGTTTAATAGATTGTAGAATGAAGATAATGTTATGTATGGGCAAACATTAACAGATGAAAACATAATCAGTATTAGGCCAATTCTCCTTTAAGCATTATAAATATATGTACAGCTAGTAGTGCTAAAACAAAACACCTGTCAATTATTCACAAGTGTTTCCAATCCTAAACAAAAAAATTCACAATAAACAGATGCTACACACTAAGATTCACAGACAGGTTCTCAACCTCATTCAATCTAATTTTTCTACGAGTGTCTTTGAAAAATTACTCCTCACACATACGTATCTGCCACTATAATTAATAGTTTTCTCTTATTATTTCTATTTTAGGTTTGGCAATAGAAATTTCATTACCAGATAAGCCCATTTTGATTCTGATACAACTAGGGTAATTACTACATCCACAATAAGGTGTTTATTAGGGGTCAGGATGATGATGAATCCTAAGCTTGTACTTGCTGAAAAGCAAATCTCAGCAAGGAGAGCTAACCTAATGCTCAGAGAAACACATTAAACTCCTGCATGTGTTTATTTTGGAGGTTTTGGCTGGTTTTTTTTTGTTTTGTTTTTTCTTGAGTCAGACATTTTTGTAATCCTAAAATACAGCAATACTGTCTGATATCCCATAATTGTATATGTAATAGTAGTAGCAATTTTTAAAAAAGAAATAACACTGACATAACTGAGACGAACACTCTTTCCTCTCCTCTCCGTGGGTTCTGTTGCCTCCATTTCCCAGGAGGTAGTTATCTGATCTGGCAGGCAGATATAGATGCCTGTCAAAAGGATCCAGGTTTGTTACATATAATACCCAAAACTTAAATGATAGGCTTTGTAAATTAACTTACTCTTAAATCAAATGACATAACATCTTCCTGAGATACCATGTAACCTTGAACTATAAAGAAATATATTTGAATCTATTTTAAAATGTCTATAATATTAATTTTAAAAATTAAATGTAAAGAGATATATAGGTACATAATTGAAATTCAATCTGAAGCAAAGCCCAAAATAGATTTCTCAAAATAGAGAAAGGGATTCCAGAAGAAGCAAGATTTCTCCTGATAGGTAGGAATCCTATCACTTTTGCTTTATACCCTAAGGGATATTACAGTCTTGGGCAAATAGTAGATGCTCAATAAAGCAAAATTTAAAGGAACTCATTAGTTATTCCTCTAAACATACCTTTGTGATGTTTGGTTTTGTTTGGTTTGGTTTTTCTTTTCCTTTTGGATGTGGTAGTTAAGGGGGTTAGGAGGAAAGAAGAGGGAGGATGACAGGTAAATTGGAAAAGACCTTCAGGGCGGAATTAAGCCAATGATGAAAAAACCCAGTGAATAACATAGAAATGAACAATTCTAAGACTGAATTGAAAGGACAAGATTCACGGGGAATTGCCATAGCCAGACCTAATCTTGACAATGTTCTCTCCCATTTGGTAGGCATGAGAACAAAGAACAGATAATGACCCTCGTGAAAATCCTAAGCCATACCCACTGTTGTAGTTCACTTTTCCCTAACCAGAGAAAATGTAATTTTCTACTTTGTCTTCTTTAGAAGAATGAAGTGAACACATCTTTCCACTGCTTGTCTTTGTTTGTTTGTTTTTTGAGACAAGAGTTTCATTCATGTTGCCCAGGCTGGAGTGCAATGGCATGATCTTGGCTCACTGCAACTCTGCCTCCTGGGTTCAAGTGATTCTCCTGCCTCGGCCTCCCGAGCAGCTGGGACTACAGGTGTGTGCCACCATGCCCAGCTAATTTTTGTATTTTTTTTAGTAGAGACGGGGTTTCACCATGTTGACCAGTGTGGTCTCGATCTCTTGACCTCATGATCTGCCCACCACAGCCTCCCAAAGTGTTGTGATTACAGGTGTGAGCTACCGTGCCCAGCCTACACTGCTTGCCTTTGAAAGCTCAGAATTATTTATGTTGATTTGCATATAATAATTATTTACTTAATTAACAAGCCCTCAGCTAGATTGTTCTTTCAACACTGAACAAGCAGAAAATTATATAATAAGATTCCTCTTCAAAGGAAAAGAAATAGGTTCTGTCGCTTACACTAGGACATACTGAGCACAATTTTCCACATGGCTTACGCAGTGAAATTTCACCTGATTCCCTAACAAGCAAGGAGAAATTCCTCTGAAATAAGAGCTCAGAGAAACTGAGACATCTCAGATCATTTATCACTGAAAATCTAGAAATTTTAAAAGTTTATCCTTAAAGCCAATATCTCTAGTAAAATTCTTAAAAGTAACAAAAAAAAAAACCACAAAACATAGAAACGCTGTACATTCTCCACAGAGATTGAAGTTAACCTTAAAATAGAATAAGCACAGTATTTAGGGTTACAAATACTTTAATAGGTTAACAGAAATATATTAAAATTTAATGCTTATGGTACCTTAAGAACTTTCCCTTATAATTCAAGAACTAAAAATCCAAAACCAACCAATTAATCAATGAATAAAGAGAATTTTTGAAACTAGTTTAGTGAAGTATAACAAGTTCTAAATACAAAAGACCTTCTTTTACTCTGGTCACAGAATGATTCATGTCAAAGGGATAAAGGAAATGTATAGAGTAAGTAAGTGAGCTGAAAGACAAAATGTACCATTCTTTCAAGGCAGCAGATGAAGGATCTAGCCCACAACCCACTCACCAGATGTCTGACTTTGTGTCATAGCCTTGGTGTTTCAGAGCCTCAGGACTCATATAATGGGGAGTTCCAGTTAAAGTTGTGGCCAGGTCACAGGATCCCATTAGGAGTCGAGAAACTCCAAAATCTCCTAGAAATAATAATTAATTCTTGTGAATACTTTAAGCCAACAAAAAATTAGCCCTAGAAATTAACAACTGAATGAGTGCCTAATGTGACCATTTTATTATGCAATGGTTTATATCATTTTAACAGGAAAGAAAAGTCATATATCTTAAATTATACAATGCTGGTAAATAGCTTTAAAACATAAGCTTTATAGGAGAAGGAAGACTTGAGCCAGAAAAGTGAATTATGTAAGCTAAAATTCTTTATTTCTGAAATTATGGGAAACTAGACAACTTGATATAAAAAGCTGTTTCAAGTCTGAATAATGGCAAACAGAATGCTTCTGGAAAAACTGAATAAGATGATATACAATTTCACCTGAGGGGAGAAGAATTTGTTCTTAAATTTACAATAAAGGAGAGTTTAAAGAAAAGATCTGAGACTATTCAAGAACACGACTATAAAAATTTGAATCTATTGGCTTCTTTACGCCTGCCTAACTAGTTGCATGCTTTTATTACTTCCTTCCTTCCCCGTGAACACCCTGCATGATGATTAGATGATCTAGTAGCTGTTATAAGGAGAGGTACAGTTCTGAAGTACTAAAGGTTAATAAAGCCATTATATCAACATTTTAATTATCTATAACTGCTTATTGCTTGTGATGAAATAATATAAATAAGAAACCTGTAATAATTAATCAAACCAGTAAATGATTCTAAAAACTTGTGAAGTACTTGGCATGAAGCAGGGAACTCAAAGTATATTTGAAAAGCTATCAAATATGTAGTAAATTTGTATATTTCCATTTATATCAGATACTGAGAAACAAAATAATTAGGTTTTGTTGGGCCCATCAGGTAAGAAACCTAAGAATTTAGTGTCTGTTTCACCAGCAGCATGCATGCTTAAAATATTGAGGAATTTAAATAAACCAGTGATTACTCTAACACTTCCGTGTACCATTTATTTCAATTTGAGATGACAAAATCTAAAATATGCACATTTTAAAAAATCTTACCAATTTTAAGTAGATTATTTTTCAGAAATACATTCTTTGATTTTAAGTCTCGATGAAGTATCCTCCTACAAAAGGGAAAAAAATAGACAACTTCAGGCAGTATATAACATTTATAAATCTGTATGTAAATAACATTGTTGCATATAATTTACACATAAATATATACACCCATAGATACATCTTTCAATGTTTAACAGCTACAAAGTCACAACACTTTCCATTTTCCCTGAGGAAACAGAAGTTTTAAAATAAAGATTTTAAAGGGCAGGGAACATGTAGTTAGAAGAAGAGTGATATGCTTTCAACTATTTCAATAGGCCATATTTTATTATGTTTTTGTAAAATAATCTACACAGTATTATATCCAGTAACCATTTCCTCAATTGATAGACCAGTTTGTAATCTATTACAGGTATTGATCGACTTATGACCTATGCAACTTACAATCATTCAACTTTACAACCACAATCACTAGCCACGACTGCTCCCCGTCTGTTTGAAGAGTTGCTAGACAAAGAATACGGAGAACTTACAAATGAAGAGCTAATCGAACTGGAAGAAGAAAGAGTGGTGGAAGAAGAAAGAAGAGAAGCAGAGAAAGAAGAGGAGGAGCCAGAAAGAAAGTTCATCACTAAGGGATTATCAGACGGTTTAGCTTTACTGAATGAACTTCTTATACATTTCGAACAATGGACCCAAACATCGAACGATTTGCAAGGATTGAACGGATGGTGCATGATGTGTTTCATTCGTATCGTGAAATTTATGAAGAAAAAAAGAAACATACAATTCAGACAAAGCTCACCATGTTTATGAAAAAACCAACTCCGGTAACCCCAACTGCTGCCTCAGATGACGACATCAGCGATCCGCAGCCAAGCACCAGTGGCCAATAAAATGTTTTGTTCATGTTTATATATTTTGATATGTTTTGCAATTGGGAAAATGTTTCCTATGGTATTTTTTACACCTGTATTTTGTATTTTTGTATGCATCTGTACTTTGTAATTTTGTATGTTTTGCAAATATTAAACCAGTTGTACTGGTAATGCAGTGTTTTACTTAAACCTGACGAATGTAAAAATAAGAAACAAAATGGTGTAGAGATGATACAAATGGCATAAAATGAACAAAGAAAATTATGATATATAACAATAACGAAAGAAAATTATAAGATATGACTTAAAGATTTTTATAACCTATTTCACAGTACTGTACATATAGCCTACTCAACTTACGACCAAATTGTGTTACAACCGGTCTGTCGGAACCAATTGTGGTCGTAAGTCAAGCACTACCTGTATACCAAAATGTCCAAGTTTTGTATACTTGTGAAAATAATAATGTTGTTGATAATATTTAAGAATAGGTAACACTGGCTGGGTGTGGTGGTTCATGCCTCTAATCCCAGCACTTTGGAAGGCCGAGGAGGGTGGATCAAGAGGTCAAGAGCTCAAGACCAACCTGGCCAAGATGGTGAAACCCCATCTCTACTAAAAAAAATAAATCAATCAGCTGGGCATGGTGGTGGGTGCCTGTAATCCCTGCTACTCAGGAGGCTAAGGCAAGAGAATAGCTTGAATCTGGAGGCAGATGTTGCAGTGAGCCAAGATCGTGTCACTGCACTCCAGCCTGGAGACAGAGTGAGACTCATCTCAAAAAAAAAAAAAATTAACATTTATTAAATCTTACTATAAGCCAGTAATGTAAATTATATCAGTTAAGACCTTTATTTTATGGAGTTACGAAGAACTAGAAAACTTGAAAATCTTTACATAAAAAACTAAGATGCTGAATAAAGTATACAAATAATCTTCACATATGCACAGTTGAGCTCACATAAAAATGAGAAAAATTCCCTGGGAATTATTCAAAAAGAAACTGAAAATAATTCTAGGCCATAATATACACCTCAACAAATTTGAAAGAAGAGAAATCTTCTGCTCTCATATCAAAATGGAATCAAATTAGAAATTAATAACAGAAAGATAACTGGAAAATCCCATAATAAGTGAATATAAAGCCATATACTTCTCAATAACAAAAAAGAAATCTCAAGAGAGATTTTAAAATATTTTTAACTGACTCAAAATGAAAACACACTTTAACAAAAGTTGTACAATATAGCAAAAGCAGTGCTTACAGGGAAATTTGTAGCACTAAATGTATATTAGAAAAAAAGAAAGAACTAAGTGCAGTTCTCTAAGCTTCCATCGTAGAAAACTAGAAAAGGAAAACAAATCCAAAGTAAGGAGAAACAGTACAGTGGAAATAATAAAATTGAAAACAAGAAACCAATTGAGAATATCAATAATATCAATAATTTTAGTTAGCCTAGCCAGGCTAACTAAAATAAAAAGATAGAAGACAAAAACTATTAAAGTCAAAAAAGAAAGAAAGGGCATCACTACAGATTCTGTGGACAATGAAAGAATAAAAAAGCAACACTGAACAATCTATAATAACAAATTTGATAACCTAGATTAAAAGAACCAATTCCTTCAAAGACACAAGCTGCCAAAAACCACACAAGAAGAAACAGGCAATCAGAATAGGCCCATCTTCATTAAATAAATTGAATCAATAATTAATACATTTCCAAATAAAAAAACACCAGGCCCAGATGGGTTCACTGGTGAATTCTGCCAAATACTGAAGGAAGAAATGACACCAAATATCTATAATCTATTTCAGAAAATAGAAGAAGAGGAAATACTTTCTAACTCATTTTAAGACCTCAGCATCATTCTAATGTTAAAACCAAACAAAAACATTAGATGCAAAAATCCTCAATAAACTATTAGCAAATCAAATCCAACATTGTAGGCCAGGCACAGTGGCTCATTCCTGTGGTCTAAGCACTTTGGGAGGCTGAGGTGGGCGAATTACCTGGTGTCAGGAGTTTGAGACCAGCCTGGAGAACATGGCAAAACCCTGTCTCTGCTAAAAATACAAAAATTAGCTGGACATGGTGGCACACATCTATAATCCCAGCTACTAGGGAGGCTGAGGCAGGGGAATTGCTTGAACCTGGGAGACAGAGGTAGCAGTGAGCCAAGATCACCCCACTGCATTCCAGCCTGGGTGACAGAGTAAGATGCAGTCTTAAAAAAAAAAAAAAAATTCCAACATTGTGTCAAGAAAATTATACACTACAACCAAGTGGGATTTATACTAGGTATGCAAGGCTGGTTCAACATTTGAAAGTCAATTGATGTAATCCATCATATCAACAGACCAAAGAAGAAAAATCGCATGAAAATATCAATATATGCAGAAAAAGCAATTGAAAAAATCCAATACCCATTCATGATAATAACTCTGATAAACTAGAAATGGAGAGTATTTACCACAAACCTACAGTTAACATCACACTTTATAGTGAGAACTCTGAAGCTTTTCTGTTGAGATCAGAAACAAGGCAAAAATGTACCCTCTAATCATTTCTTTTCAACATTATACTGAAAGTTCTAGCTAATTAACTAAAACAAGAAAAAAGTGTAAATGGTATAGAGAAATGCAAATCAAAACCACATTGAGATACTATCTCACACCAGTTAGAATGGCAATCATTAAAAAATCTGGAGGCAACAGATGCTGGAGAAGATGTAGAGAAATAGGAACACTTTTACACTGTTGATAGGAGTGTAAATTAGTTCAACCATTGAGGAAGACAGTGTGGCGATTCCTCAAGGACCTAGAAATAGAAACCCATTTGACCCAGCAATCCCATTACTGGGTATATATATATCCAAAGGATTATAAATCATTCTATTATAAAGACACATGGGCCGGGCGCGGTGGCTCAAGCTTGTAATCTCAGTACTTTGGGAGGCCGAGGCGGGCGGATCACGAGGTCGAGAGATCTAGACCATCCTGGTCAACATGGTGAAACCCTGTCTCTACTAAAAATACAAAAAATTAGCTGGGCATGGTGGTGCGTGCCTGTAATCCCAGCTACTCAGGAGGCTGAGGCAGGAGAATTGCCTGAACCCAGGAGGCGGAGGTTGCGGTGAGCCGAGATCGCGCCATTGCACTCCAGCCTGGGTAACAAGAGCAAAACTCCGTCTCAAAAAAAAAAAAGACACATGCACATGTATGTTCACTGTGGCACTGTTTACAACAGCAAAGACGTGGAACCAACCCAAATGCCCATCGATGATAGATTGGACAAGGAAAATGTGGCACATACACTCCATGGAATACTATACAGCCATAAAAAATGATGAGTTCATTTCCTTTGTAGGTACATGGATGAATCTGGAAACCATCATTCTCAGCAAACTGACACAAGAACAGAAAATCAAACACCACATTTTCTCACTCATAAGTGGGTGTTGAACAATGAACAAATGGACACAGGGAGGGGAGCATCACATACTGGGGTCTGTTGTAGAGGAAGAGAGAAGGGACAGCAGGGGGTAGGGAGGTTGGGGAGGGATAACAGGGAGAGAAATGCCAGATATAGGTGACAGAGGGATGGAGGCAGTAAGCCACATTGCCATGTATGTATGTACCTATGCAACAACCCTGCATGTTTTACACATGTACCCCAGAACCTAACGTGCAATAAAATACAAGAAAAATAAAGAACAAAAAATAGTATAGAGATGAGAAAAAAAAAACAACAAACTCTCTCTGTTCACAGATGACATTATCACCTAAGTAGAAAACCCAAAAGAATCAATTAAGAAAACCTCCTAGAACTAACAAGCAATTATAGCAATATTGCAGAACACAAGGTTGATACACAAAAATCAATTGCTTTCCTATATGCCAGCAACTAATAAGTAGAATTTGAAATTTAAAACAAAATATATTTGCATTAGTACCCCAAAAATGAAACACTTAGGTATAAATCTAATAAAATATGTACAAGATCTGTATGAGGAAAACTACACAACTCTGATGAAAAAAAAATCAAAAAACTAAGTAAATGGAAAAATAATCCATGTTCATGGATAGATAGACTCAATATTGTCAAGACATGGATTCTTTCCAAATTCATCAATAGATACAATGCAACCCCAATCAAAATCCCAGGAAGTTATTTTGTGGACATTGA